TTTTCATCAAAGGTCACACAAACCAATTTCCTGCTGAAAGCCTATTCTCACCTCTACCTTCAATACTACAACTTTGTCACCCTGGAGGCTTTTCTTCATATATGAGATATCGGTTGGTGGTGTCTTCAGGTGTTTGTAGTTATTAATGGCACCCTCTATTACTACTAAGAGCAACTCCACTTGGGAGATGCACTATTGGGCCACCCTATGCATCGAGTACATGCTGTGGGCCAGCTCTGTGATAGATCCCAAGGCTACGATGCATAATACAAGATTCCTCCTTTGTAGGAGCTCACAAACACAGGAACCTTATACATCGTTTGTACAGGAACATATGAGCAAGTATTATCTTAGATGGCTCACCCCAATCTTCCTTTTTCTTCTTGGTGCCCTCAGTTCTAGTTAAGGAGTGTCATGGGGGCATTTTCTCAGCCCCTTGGCTGCCAAGTCCTTCTCCCTCAGTGTCCCATGAGAAACTATATGCCCCCTTAGAGCCCTTTGTGGATACATATTACCTTACAGTGTCTTATGGGGACATTCCTATGCGGCCCTTCCCTGTCCTACATGGACCTCGATGCCCATCCAGTACTTACGTAGATGTCCTTATGTGTTCCATGAATGTCCCTTGTGAACAATTTCACGTGCCTCTCCAGTGTCCAATGGACCAGTGTGTTCCTTTTGTCTCATGCATTTGCTAATATATACCCACCCATGCCCCATGCAGATATTCCATTGGCCCTTCTAGTGTTGCCTGTGGACCTATATACCCCTTCAGTAATGCAAACTCTATCCAATTTGAAGGCTGAAGGCCCTGCAGGGTTACAGAGTAGCAAAAGGCCTCTGGGTGCATATGTGTGCAGAGAAAATGTCATGAATGTTTAAAAAGAACTCCTCTTATTTAAAAAAGATTCTGTCTCAGAGCCACTTGATAAATTGTTTAAAAATAAAAAAAATGAGATTCATAGGCTTTGTTCTAGACCTACTGAATCTGAAGTGAGCCCAGGAATTTTCATTTTAAACAAGCCATGGAACTGATGAGGAAAATTAGACATTTTTTGCGGGGGAGGGGAGGTTAGCAGCCTGACTAATGTGCAGTATCCCTAATGCACATTTCTGTTAGCCTATAATCAAGTCACTGCCCTTCCTTAATTATCTGGTCTTGCACGACCTATTTACCTAAATACTCTCATTTTACAGAGGCCATAACGATGAACAATACACAACCCCCAAAGGGGGTTATCAGCACTGGCACCAGGCCAGGCCTTTAGGTGTGGTCTCACGGCCCCCATTCTAACACACAGGGCTTTTTGCAAAGCCCGCGAAAGGTCCGGAAGTCTGATCCATATTTGGGGGACAAAGAAACCAAAGGGTATAAAGAGGTTAGGAGTTCCCCACTTTATGAACAGCTCACTTCTTACCAGAGAAGCTGAAAATATCAGGTACTCACCTTCTCATTCTCCGTTAAAGTTAAGGGTGGGTTATGATCTAGGCTTTCCAAGCAGGTGCATCAACCACATAAATCAGAATCTAACCATGAATCATGAATTGTTGTGAAGTGGAAACAGGCAGAGCATTTCCATTCTGTGGGTTTTGACTAGTTAATCACTATGGTCAGTTTCCAGAAACAGTGGTGTCACTGGTTGTAGTAATAGCATCCAACATCTCATATAGATGATGTCTGTGCTTTATGTAGCCTACTAGAGGCCCAGTGCATGAATTTGTGCATGGGTGAGGTCCCTCACCCTGGTCGGCAATCGAGGCCTATCGAGGGGAGGGACTGCGGGAGGTTGGCTGGCTGGGGGAAGGGGCCATGGGAAGTTGGCCAGCTGAGGGGGGGTGCTGTGGGAGGTTAGCCAGCGGGGGGGGTGGGAGGGAGGTCACGGGAAGTTGGATGGCTGGCAGGGGCAGGGGCAGGGACCATGGGAGGTTGGGCGGCTGGCCCCCCCATCGGGGTCAATCGGAGGAGCCAGCCGGGCTTGGGGGGAGCGAAGGGAGGGACAGTGGGAGGTTGGCTGGTGTGGGGGAGGGACCGCAGGAGGTTGGCCGAGGGGGTGAGGCCACAGGAGGTTGGCTGGCTGGACCCCCATTGGGACTGATTGGGGGCCAGCCAGTGGG